CAGATTCTATCAAGTTGACAGCACTATCACAGTGAGAACCTCTCCAACAACATGTACAAATCAGGTGTGATGGAGCACACCTGTAATCCCAGCACTCCGAAGGCTGAGGCAATAGGACCACAGGCTTGAAACCAGGCTGGGCTACATAGTGAGTTTGAGGACAGCCTGTGTTAAACAGTGAGACCCTATTTCAAATAAGCAAAGCAAAAAGGAAAAATAGCATGATCAAAATCATGGATATAAGAATATCTTATAAAGTGTCTGTAGACCAGGACTGAACTTGAAGCATAGCAGAGCTGTAATTCTGATTGTCACAGACCAGAGCGTGAAGAACCCAGATGCTATGGAATGAATGTTAGTGCTCCTCCAACCTGCCAAATTCCCACACTGTAATCCTGTCACTCAACCTGATGCTAGTAGAAGGTGGGGGCTTCCACTGGCCAGTTTGGCCATGAGGGGCAGCACACATGAAGATGATCAGCACCCTTCTAAGAGGAGACACAGAGCTGGCTTTCAGCCTCTCTGCTTTCTGCCTTGTAGGACAGTCACAAGCAAACCATCAAGTGGGCCCTCCTAGTCTACTAGACTGGATTTTGGATTTCCCATCATTCAGAATACTGAGAAATACCTGTTGTTAGGCCTGAGAGGTGGCTCACTGGGTAAAGGGGCAAGCCTGGTGACCTGAGTTTGATATCCAGAACCCTTGAAAAAGTGGATGGAGCAAACTGACTACAAAGTTGTCTTCTGACCTCCACACATGCAGTGTGGCACATGTGCATACATGTACGTACATGCACACACATCATCACCACCACCACATGCACACACACAAATAAATGTAATAAAAATATTTTTGGTCTAAGCATATAGTCTGTATTATTTTGTTACACTAACCCAAGCTATGACACCGATGGCAAGTTAAAAAACCATTGTCACACTGCACAGATTCTTTATGCCTCACCTTCTAGAACTGGGTGTAAGTAACAGATGCATTGCTGTTAAGCAAAAGCGGGGCCAAGTCCCACTTCTCCCAGTTACTTGATGTGTATGCCATTTCTTCCTTTTCAAGATCCACAAAATGAATATACTAGCAGATTGTATCAAAGAATAAAGAGGCATGTTTGGTTTAAAAATGTCATCCAAGTTTCCAAAACATAAGACTTGCTCCAAAAATCTGAGTTTGGCCTTTGAAGTCCCCCTCTGTCCCGCTGCCACGCCAGGTTAATAACTTGCACCTGGATAACATTCTACTTCATTGTATTTTTAACTTTAACTGAACATATCTAATTGTCAAGTTTAAGGAATGTAACCTGCTCAGAATGTCTGGAACAAATTAGTTTTGAGGCTCAGGGGAGGATTCTTAGGGGACTACTCTTAAGGGGCACCTGAGACTGGTTTATTTGGAGTGCTCACAGTAAAGCAGGAGAGGCAATTATCCTGTGCCATGAATCTGGAAGGAGGAAGAAAGTACTTATTTTGATAGTCAAGCTGAATGTTCATTTTTATATATGGGCTATCACAAGAATTTTTTTTTTTTAATCTGTAGCGGTAGATTTAAAAAAAAGAACACCGTCTATTTTGAGATGTCTTTATTGAGTAGATATATACCTAAAACTGGTTCTGCTGTTTCAGTTTCCTACTTAATACAAACCCACTACACTAACAGCCTTTCCTGCTTACAGTTTGTTCTTTTAGAGGATTTTCTGGGTGCTCACAGTTTTGTACTAAGGGGTTGTTAAAGGCTCCTTGTTAAGTACCATAGCTCATGGAAAGCAGTCCAATGCTGGAAAATAAACAGGCAAACAACTCTTTATTTGAATGCCACAGCTGGGTACAGTAAAACATTGAGCAGCTGTACTAAGCTTCATTCTGCCCCTCACCCCCACTGATTTGAGACCCATGGGAGTATTAGACAGTAGGTCTAGGTAAGAAAACAGAACAAGGAGAAATGTGCGGAAGAGGGTGACACAGAGGAAGGCAGCAGCTTTCTGCACTATTCAATTAGGTTAACTTACCAGGGGCGTCAGCCAGATAGGCTGTGCAGTTGTCAGCAAGAGTACAAAATGCTTAGGGTAAGATTTGCGTTTTATCTTTGCTGCTGATTAGCTGTGTTAACACTGAAAAAACTAAAGTGTCTCTAGCTATTGTATAATGGTGAGAAATTATTGAACTCATAGATTATACTGAAAATTAAATATGAATGAAAAAATGTTGACACAGAGCCAGGCACATAGTAAAAAGCTCAATAAATATCAGTTGTTCATGTGTGCTACTTTTCTTAGGAAGAAACACTGTGACAAACATTTTTATAAGACTGTAAAGGCTCAAAGCATCAGGTGCATCCCTTGATACAAAGAAAATAGTAAAGAGAATAAAATTATTCAGCAATTCAATAATTGCTTTTTCCCCTGGGAATAGACTGCCTTTGTTGCAACATGAAGGGACAGGGCAGTATCCATGGCTACCATTCCTGCAGAAATATTCGTGGCCCATTTGCCACAATTTTTTTTTATACTTTCCAGCACTAAGTCAAACCTGAGAATGTTGAGCAGAAGAGTCTAGAACTAATTCACAGCAGAACATACTCAGAGGCTACAGGCACTAAGATGACCTACAATAAACATGGTTCCAAGCCATTAGTTTCAGTTGTCCTTAGCCTCTTCCCATTGGCCTCTACATCTCTGCTAATTCTAAGACCACCTTCAACCATCACAGAGGGTGGGGTGAGGGTTGAGGTAGAACTGCTGTTTTCACCTCAGAATCCTATACTAGTCTACTCCTTCCCAAGACTGATTGTCTTTATTTTTTTCTTGCCTTATTGCGATGGCTAGAACTTCCAGCAGTGTGTTATATAGGAGGTGAAGAGGGAAGTCTTCATAGCCTGAAGCAAAAACATCTCTGCTTTTCTATGCTCATTAATCAAAGGTAGGCTTTGTAGCTACTTTCTATCAAGTTGAAGAAACAACCTTCTATTCCAAGTTTTCTAAGAGCTGTATTTTCAAATTTTATTTATTTTATTTTGAGACAGGATCTCCCTGTAGCACCAGCTGGCCTGCAACTCATTATGTAGACCAGGCTGGTCTTGAACTCAAGATCCACCTACCTCTGCCTCCTGAGTGCTGGGACTAAAAGCGTGTGCCACCACGCTCGGCTTATATTTTCAATTTTAAAAAATATTTTATTATTTTTACATGTATGAGTATATTGTCTGCATGTATATAAGTGCACTTGTGTAATGCAATGCCCAATGCCCATGGAGGTTAGAAGGATGTGTTGGATTCTCTGCAGCTGGAGTTACGGACAGCTGTTAGCCACCATGTGGGTGCTGGGACTTGAACCTGGGTCCTCTGCAAAAGTAGTCAGTGCTGTTAACTGCTAAGCCATCTATCCAGTCCTTATTTTAAAGTGTGTTTTAAGTGCTAATTACTATAACCACAAGATTTCTTTTGTTTAGTCTATGGTTCTGTTTTTACACTGATTTTCAAATACTGAATCATTTTTTTTTTTCATACAAGCCATAAATCCTACTTACAACACAGACTTTTAAAATACATTGCTAGATAGGATCTGGTGATATTTGCATCTAAGTTCATTAATTCTTGAAGATATTTGCATCTAAGTTCATGATTACACTGAACAGTTCTGAAGGCTTGACCACTCTCACTGTGCTTGTCAGTTCCCACGGCCCTCCAAAGCCTTCATTTCCCACTGTTCTGGGAAACTAAATCTGTAAAGGCTGTACAGGGAGGCCATCTCTACAATTATTTTGGTAATTTGCCTCTGACCTCACTTATGTTTCATCCTTATATGATGTGGATTTCTAAAAGCTTTAATCTGCCCATACATCTTTAAAAAAAAAAATCAAAGACTCTAGTATCTCAATACTTGTCAAAATGTTTGTGGTACTGACAACAAGAATTACAGTTTATTTCTAAAACAACACATCAGTTGTAAATTATGCATTTGCAAATTAATTTATTAAACCTGTTACTCAGCCAAATAAATATTGACATGATGTATAATCACAGTATGCTCTCAATAACAGCTTTTACATTTCTAACAAGTTTTGCCAGAAAATCAGAGATTTATGTCCAAACTAGCTCTATATTTGTTTGCCAACCCAGGCCAGTATTTTGCATCCAGCAACAAAATAACAACTCTCTGCGTGGGGAAACAGATAATAGAGCCATAAGCCTTTTCAAATGGCCACATCATCACATAAACGAATATACTTACTGAAACAGTCTGTAATTGCAAATGGCAAATATTCCAAGTCAAGTGGGAGCCTAGAAATGTTCAATAATCAGCTATGAAGTCCTTTCCAGACCTCCTTATTTTGGAAAAATATTAGCATTCTAGGAAAAAAGATAGCAAAATGACTGGCGGCATGCAAGTCATGTAGACTCTGACTCCAATCTCACTGTGATCTTGAACACACAAGCCAGTCTTGGCTTCCCTGACAGTAAAGTGAAGCAGCCCAAATGGAGTCAGCTGAGGTACTGCACGAGGCACCTCACACAAATGCCCACTTCTCCACTGCCTTATTTTTCTGTTTTTGAAATGTATATATAAATAGAACTTAATCATATTCTATCTCCAGTACTTACTATCTATTATGTAGCTAATACTATGTATTTACTAGGGAAAATATTTAGCACTTCGTCATTTCAGAGACAGCAGATTCCTGCTGCGATAAATTGTGCGGAACATGAATCTCCTAATTAATCAAATATTCTATCTAAAGAAGCTAAGGATTAAATACAAATAATTTCAATTTTCAAAGTATTCCTTCTTTTGTGCAATCTGCATCACAAAGCTTATTATGGGCAAGGCAATTTAGAAAGCTAGTTTCAGCCAGGATCTTAGACTAAATTTATAGTTTGAGACAAATAACAGTATTTAATAAATACTATAGTAATAAAGAAGATACAGTGGTTACTTACAGTGAAATTCCTAATTCTGCTTGGAAATAGTGAAGGTTGATGGTTTTTTAATTGAAGTTCTAGGTTTCCCAGTCATACAACTGTGGGAGAGGCATGAAGTGTGAAAATATGCATGACAAAGTGCCACATAGCATCTGTAGCTCAGTGTGGCTGCAGTGTACACTGGAGAACACAAAGATAGTGGGCCTCTCCTCATGAAACGTATAGACTTTATTCAGTAGAACTTTAGTGAAACTACATGGAATGAAACTCCTTTTCAACAAGTGTGAAAAGAAACTGAGACTACTGGATTTATAATGACATGTAAAAAGATGAGGGCTTTTTATATTTTTATGGGTATATTTTGCCTGCAGGTAAGTGCACTGTGCATGCAATGCCCAGGGAGACCAGAAGAGGGCATCAGATCCACTGGAACTGGAGTTAAAGATGATTATCAGTCATCATGTGGGCGTTAGGAAGCAAACCCAGGTCCTTGGTAAGAGCAGCCAGTGCTCTTAACAGCTGAGCTATCTCTCCAGCCACCAAAAGATGAGGACTTTAACGAAGCAGTTGTTATGGTCAGGAGAATCAACTGACTGGTTCTGATTGGTCTGATACCACAAAAAAACACTCTGGGTAACCAATAAGCTGCCTTCGGAGAGTTTTGAGGACAGAATACATTGGACTGAGTTTTTCATTTGAACATTTATTTCACCCAATGGTTTATTTGGGTAGCCTAGTTTGATATGGATCATGACATATCCACCACCAGTACTGACCAACAGAGGGCAGCCCCACAATTTCAGTATCACAGTGGCACAGACAGCACAAACTGGGAGAAAGTTGGTTGTTAGAAGTGATTCTGCACAATGTGTAAGACTAAAAAGCAAAGCTGATGGGGCTGATGAAGGAAGTAGTCCTACCAGCACGTTACTTCAAGTTTCCTAGTTCACTACCTAGCTCTGCAACCTTCTCAAGCGTGCCTCTTCTTTATAACAGACTGACATTAGGAAGTACATATTTCCGTGACTTGGAGGATTTATTGACTTTGCATTTTTAAAAATATCATCATTAATAAATTGGCTCAATAGATATGCTGATTAATAGACCTAAAAATAAAAGAAAATATAGTTTACGGGATAACAAAATGCATTTGCCTAAGATATTAATTATGATCAGTAAAGATTTAAACACAGTACTTTTCAAAACATTCTGCACAAGAACTTCCAGATCACTTCATTGAACAGTAAAGTATCTAGCTGTTGAGTAACATATTTACAAGACTACACAGTTTCAAAACCAAGGAACCTATTAAGTAAATCATTTTACATCGCAGGACACTCTAAATATTATATACAAACAGCACACAGATTTTGTGCTAAAGGCAGAATGCTGAAAAATTTAATAATACTAAGCTAAGAATTCAGGAAATATTAAAAATTTTGATTAACTGAGGTATAATTTTATAAGGAATAGGGGCTCTGAGAATCATATTTTTATAAAAATAAAATCCTCCCTAACTTTCTACATAATTCAGAATCCCAGACTTTACTCATCAAATGTGTGAACAATAACTCCTTATATTACTTATATAACCCTTCAGATGCTGACTTCATTAGACTTTCTTATACATTTCCTGAAAACCAAATCCAAAGACACTGAAACACATGAAGGTAAAAGTTGCTCCTAAAGATTATTCATGAATACAGCAAAATTTTTTTGAGAACTTGTACTTCTAAGAAGAACCCAACAGAGAGAACCTCAGCTTCCAAAGAGTTCACCTTTAAAATTAGAGCTGGTCAAGCACTGATTCTGAATCACTATCAGCCTATAATTCACCTTGTATGATGTATTGAGAAAGACATTGCCTCTGTAAGGCAATTAAGATCTTAAAAAAATTGTTTGTGTGTGAAGGAGCACACTAGTTACAATGCCCTGTGGAGGCCAGAGGACAACTCTGTGGGGTTGGTTCTTTCCTTTCATGTGGGTTCCATGAACTCAGATTCTCAGGCCTGCAAAGAGCTTTTACCTGCTACCCTACCCACTGAGATGTTTCCCCCTTAAGATCTTACATAAGTCTTTCTTTGGATTTTGATAAGGGGTATTTTTTTTTTTTAAAGACAGGGTCTCCTTGTAGCCCTGGAACTTACACTGTAGACCAGAGTGGCCTTGATTTTACCTGCCTCAGTCTCCCAAGAGCCGGGATCAAAGGCGTTCAATATCAATACCCAACCACGTAAGGGATATTTTGAAATGTGTACACTGATAAGGCCTATACTTTGTTTTCTCTAATTGCCTTCCGATGTAACTTCAAATATTTTGTCTCCCTTCCAGCTCCCTCCAACAGCCTCTGCAGCTTTGTCCAACTGGTTGGCTTCTTGTGACAGTGCAAGCTCTCTGTTCCTCACACTGTTGTCCTTTGCTCCCCTGCTTGTAGGAGCCTGGTCACTCAGTCTGTGCCATCTTCCCTTCCCTGGCTTGTTACCACTCAGATGACTAACAGTAACGCTTCCTTAGAAGTTAGATCTTCATTAAGCACACCTCAGCAACATTTGCAGTCAGTATTTCTTTGAGCTTTGTTGTGAATTTCAGCTTGTCTCTGCAACAATTTTCTTTCTGAATGCTACTCTAAAATATCCTGAAAAGGAATGGTTGCTTAAGGATTTCTGTCCTAAAGTCTGTATTAGACATGTATAAAGGAATGCCTAATTCAGCCAAGAATGCTCTTGCTGTACTATTGATTCCCACCACTACAAATACTGATTTCCCAAGAGCACTACTGTTACTACTCCATGTCTAAGACATCAATTTATACACATAATGGTTAGATCTAAAAATTCAATGTTTGGTTCTTGTATAAGATTAAATTTCATAGGACATATGAAATTTGAAACTTAAAAACCTAAATAATAAGAAGCTAAAATAGGTAACAATTTATTGAAATGTCTATTAACATCATCACTAACTACATAATTTAAAATCAAACTACAGGACTGAAAGTCAGATGTCATCCATGATCCTTTAACATTTTTAACTCAAAAAATATGCAAGAGCCAGCGAATCAGAATTTTCCAAATGTTCTTAAAAAGAATTATGAGACTCCTCCAGTTATAAAAGCAGTGTACGTGCCACAAATGAACTCTTCTGCCACGGTAGCAGTCATGGCCCGGGTGGCCTTCTGAGGTTGCAGTCCCCTCCACTCACAAGCACGACCTCTTCACAGGAAAAGAATGAACAGGGACAAGAGAATGAACTTGCCTTGTTTGATTGATTCCTGGTGCTTTCATAATACCTTAGATGCCTGATTTCAATTTACAGCAATAACAAATACCAATATTTATTCTGAAAGGTTAATTGTGTGTTATGAGTAGCAGATGTTAACAGCTTCCAACGCGATCTCTGGGAATAATTCGCAGTTCTGAACCATGCTTTAGAAAAACATTTCCTATAGGAAAAAATATAAAGTTAGGTATGAAAAAGTGATGACTGCTACACAAAATAAGCTGTTAAAAAGCAGGTACAGACCCTCAGCTGTCAGTAGAGCGCATGCCCGGTCCTGTTCCTATTCCTCCTTTATCTTTACACATCAACGAATGCTTAAAAATTTTTAATGAATTTCAGTCACGAAAATGCCAATACTGGCAAATAATATCAATTAATCACAAACACTCATAACAAAATACCTAAGACAAAATCTCTATATTATATAGTATGTCTAGGTAAGGCTCCTCAGTTTTCTTTCTTTTTTTGGTCTTTTTGAGACAGGGTCTCCCTGTAGCCACAGCTGGCTTGTACTTGCTATGGAGACCAGGCTGGCCTCGATCTCACAGAGATCTGCCCACCTCAGCCTCCCAAGGGGATACCTTATAATTTTCAATAAAACAACTCTTTTTAATTTGATGAAAAGTATATATTTAAGATTATTAATTCCAGGAACAAAAATTTGCAATTATAAATATTTTTTCATTTTCTATGACTGAATTTAACCAATGACCTACAAAGACATTATAGTTTTTTATAATAAAAAACTTCAGAATATAATCATTTAAAAGTAAATACTGATCAAGAATGAAGTTCCACTATATTAACCAATAAGGTTTCAAAGCATTATAGTTAGACTATCACCCAAAGGAAATAGCTTAAAAAACATTATACTATTTTTTCAAGTTTAAGAGTACCTTTACCAAAATGCACATTTACACTCCCTACTGGCTAGGACATCAAATACCACCCTGAATTCTTTTCACAGTTTGAAGCTCTGAGTGTGGACCTAGCCCTTTATAATGTAAGTGACTGCAGTTCTTTAAAGGAGTAAGGGCTATCACTTTCTGGATGCTAACCATGAACGATCCAAATTTTAAGCAATTTACCTACACTACCTCACAATCACTAAGACACAGGTCAAAGTCTCTATCTTCAGAACAACACAATCTTATCTTCAAGATTTTTTTGTTATGTATGTCACTATTCTATTATTCAGGTTTTCATTTATTTGAAACACACACAAAAAATGAAAAAATTTTCTTAGTTGTAAGGAGACTATTATAAGCTCTACACTGCTAGGTCTCGAAAATCCAGTGTAGATATGAATTAGATAGACATCCATCCTCAACTTCCACGTACATGCCTACTAATAATTAACTCACAAGTTTTCAAGTAGGTACTCACCAGCAGTCTGTGCAGGATTTATCCCTATTCCATCTAGAAAGTAAGTTGTAAAATCATTGAGTTAGGTTGAACAACCTAAATTCCTGAGCAAAAATGACAATCTTTCAGGTAAGTTACCCATCTGCTGAAACTGCCTATTATTATGAATTTACACACACTGCTGGGTTAGACAAGAGGACGTTAAGTGCAACGATTCTCCTAAATTCCATAGACGATAGTGTTTTAAATCCAATTTTGCTACATGCAATAAACTGTCATTTCTTTTCAAAGCAAAAACATTCTATGCACACCATCAGTCATTTCCACACTGCTAGGAGACATAAACCTCTGAGACAGGAAAGCCATCAAGGACTCTCTGTTCAAGTTCCATTGACACGGAATGCTTTGAAACATTTTTCCTCAATTACTCACTTGAAAACCTACAATGACCTAGAAAGTAGGCCAAATTCCAACATGGCAAGATGCAGAATATTTGAAGGAGAAATCCTGTAAGACCTAACTGACACCATGCCACTGCCCTTCCCCCACCTCTGTCATTCTATCGCAGCTGCACAGTACCACATCTACACTAGCTGGCACACTGAGAAACAGCAAGCCCTCCCTGCAAGTCCTGCTCACTGTCCACCACCTTCTCATTAGACTAGCCCACTGTCATTTGTATCACGCCAAGATATTCTGATTTTTAGCTGTCCCTAAACTGAAAAGCATTATTTCCAGTCAGTAAGAATCAGTTCTATTAGAAAAGGAAAATAACACAGTAAAGGAAAAGTTACTGTCCCACTGAATTTTCTATATTCTAAATCACTTTCTGATATGACTTTATTTAAAAACAGAAAAATCCTTGCTAAAGCGCAAGTTCCCTGCAGTAACAGACGGGAGAGTGACAAGACACAACATATTTGTGCTTTCCGCAGCAGAAGCACATGGAACTGCAGAGCTCCTTCTAGACAAGAGCCTTGATGCAACGCCTACCACTGAGTGTAACGTTTATGTTAACATGTTATGAGACCTTTTGGATTCAAGTCAGTTTTAATTAATTTGATTACTTTTAATCAATGTTTATAGTTCTTAAAATTTAAAGTGAATTCTTACCATTGGTAATAATTGCACTTGTTGCTGCAGGAACTTTAAACTAAAAGGGAGAAAATGAAAAGAATATGTAAATACATAAACATGAAACCATAAAAGACGAACAACAATGATGGAGCACCTATTATCCAGTCTACAATTCTACCACAGTCAGTCTTTTAGAGGAGAGATAACATCAAACAAAACAGCAACCTTGTATTCTAAATAATGCATCTGATTGTATTTAATGCATAAATGATTATAAAACGGTCCTTTAGTTTATATGCAACACAAGAGGTAAAACAATGCCAATCTATAGCCCAAACAACTTTTATTACTTCAGACTTAGACATCACACATAATTCTCTTACAAAAGCAAACAATATAAGGGAATAAATGAGTTAAAAATATGAAGAAATATCTTCATAAAATTTCAGGTTTCAGATAGTCTCCTGATTAGCAGGAGGTGCCAACAGATGATTTCTAGGTAGTCACCAAGACTGTATTCCTTCTTCAGTCTCCTTAAGTGATGATCTGACTTCTACATCATGGGACCGCAATCTAGGCTAAGTTTAGTGAGGTGCAGGTGGTCAATTAGAGATCTATGTGATTGCTATCAGCCAAGAGTGGCGGGAAGACTCGGGTATTATAAAAAGATGTGCTTTTTGAATCAGTGAAATATGCCTGACAAGGCCAAGTCTATGTCTTAATGCACATGACGAAGCTTCACATCCTAGTCACTCCTATCCAACAAGTATTTATTGAGCACGGCGGCACTGTGTACTCATTTATACACACTGCAGTTGAGCTCTACAAAGAGGTTTGGAAAGAAAGCTTTTAATATACTACTGATACTTGAAGAAATAGTAAATGTTTCTGTGGCTGTTCTGTTTGTGGGGTGGGACTAGTGTTTTCTGTGCATGATTTTGCTCTACGAATATACAAAGGAAACACTGTTCCAGACATTAAGGAGGGTCACGTAATAGTTAAGAAAAACAACCGAAAGCTTATTAATTGGAATTGAAACAAATTTTAAAATATGAACTATGCATAAGAACAATGAACACAGTGTTATGTAGCAAATCATTTTATTTTCATTGTGGGACATTCTTATTTAGAAATAACACGAGATTTCTTATAGAACTTTGAAAATGTACTTAAATAAATTTTGAAATCTTGAAAATAAAGTTATAGAAGCTGTAGTTTCTTTTAAAAAATTATTTTTTATGTGTATAAGTGTATTCCCTGCGTGTACGTACGTATACCTGTATTGTGCAATGCTCAAGGATGTCAGAAGGAGTAGGGTGCCCTGGAACTGGAGCTATGGATAGTCATTAGCTGCCATGTGGGTGCTGGGAACTCAACCAGGGTACTCTGCAAGAGCAGTCGGTGCTCTTAACCACCGAGCCATCTCCCCAGCCTCAATAAAAAATTAAGTACATGCACTTAGGGAATGGGGAGATGAATCAGCTGGTAAAGTACCTATCACACAAGCATGAGGACCTGAGCTGAGTTTCCTGGAGCCCACAGAGAAAAAGCCAAAGGTGGTGGTATAATCCCAGTGATGGGCAGGTGGACACAGGAGGACCTCTGCGGCTTGCTGGCAAGCCAACCTGGAAGAATTGGTAAGCTCCAGGTTCACTGAGAGACTTGTCTCAAAAAATAAGGTAGAGGCTGAGTGTGGTAGCGCACGCCTTTAATCCCAGCTCTGGGGAGGCAAAGGCAGGTGAGTTTGAGGCCAGCCTGGTCTACATATCCAGTTCCAGGCCAGCTGGGACTACAGGGAGACCCTGTCTCAAAAAGACCAAACCAAAAAAAGGTGGAGAGCCATTGAAGAAGGTACCAGATGTCAACCTCTGGCCTCCACATGCATGTGTATTGCACACATGTATGTCCCTTCCCACATGTACACATGCACATAGGAACAAGTACACACAAACCAAAGCAACAAAAACAAAAAGAGAGTGCATGTCGCCTTAGATTTTCAAAAGAATTCTATGTATCTGTTAATTACTCTACTGGATCTCACTCTTTGATCACACTCATTTTAAGGTAAGTCATGAATTTTGCTAGTCACATCATCTAGTGGCAACATATCTGTGAATTTTGAAAGTCAAAAGCTATTACTGACATGTTCTGTTCCTATCCAGGTGTAGTAACAGCTATTTAGATCTGGGAGGCACTGGCCACCAGTGACCGTGAGCAGCAGCTTCTCCTGTCCTCACTATCACCATGTTTTCTCCCGGATGCGGATACTTCCTCTGTGTCCTTCATGTTCATTTGGCACCTACAGATTCCTTAATTCATACAGCTTATGAAGCTACCTGGCTCTTCTCGAGGTTCTGAAACTCATTATTTAGTAAAATCAACTCTAAGCCATATTTTGAGGAATTGAGAACTTTACCTCAGATTTAAATCTAGACCTCTTGACTTCTCAAGGCAACTCTTAGCCTCACTGAAAGATATCACGTGCCATCTTGTGACAGCCCCACTTACCAATGCCTGCAAGTCAGATCCTTTCACAATGCTCAATAGCAAGACCATTAGAATCTGCATCAGAACTTTAGTCAGCAGCTGTGGCTGTACGAGAACTGTCAGTTTATTTCTACTGCTTGTTTTATGGGACTCTTTTCTATTTTCAAAAAAGGCCAAACTTATACAGAACATTTGTATTATAACAAAAACAAAATAAGATAGCTACAAAATACATTATAATGTAATTGTATAAATTGTATAATGTAATTCATGTACATAGAATGTAATTCATAATTACAGCCTGCAGGGAGCTACTGCCTAATTCTGGAATCTGCTATGACCTAGACTATTTTCTCACAAGCTATCTATGACATAAAAAAGGGAATGACAATATTGTACTCAGATCTGTCTCATCCCATTTTATGCTGCATGAAAAATAGATCAAAACTATAAAACAAATACTACCACCTTGAAGTTTACTCTGAATAGGTAACAAATGATATCAGTGGTCCCTGACAAGGTCTACAAGAAGCTATGAGCAAAAATAGGTTGGTAGACTTCCCATGACTAACATCAGGTATAGGGCAGGGCTGTAAGTTCCATTAGCTTTACATTTAGCTATAACTACTTTTCCAAACATTCTGACAAAAGCATTTAGGTTTGTGTTATTCTGAACCTGTCCAGCACTTCAGTGCACTGTACCATTTTGGTGAATGACATTGCACTTTATCATAGAATCTGTAAGATGGGAAAGGCAGGCTTTATTATGATTATGCAAGTTAAAAAAAAGAGGAGGGGAAGGAGGAAAGAAGGGAGGGAGGGGAGTGGGGAGGAGAGAGAGGGAGAACTGAGGAATCTGTCTTATGTCACACATTAATCAATGAATCACATTCTGGTGTCAGCTGGAGCAGATCAAGCTGCTCTTCCAAATGTGTTCAGAGTTGTTTTATAGATGATTTGATAATTTCAGGTAGAAAATTCTGTCTTAAAAACATAAAACAACATGTTTTTAAAAGCCAGACACTTCAAAACAACACATTTTATTAACAATTATACACATATATATTTTGTCTACCTGCATACCCAGTGGGTTGATATAAGGCTGGCTCTTAAAGAGCAGCTTGTGTATGTACCATTGGTACATTCAGTATCTATAAAATTCTTCTGAAATTTGGCTTCTGTGTGAAACAGATGGGTCAATTTGCTTAACTCATTACTTCTGTATTTAAAAATCAGAGTTAACTTCCACTGTACTTACAAATTCTATAGCATGAACCTAGTAATGAACAAATGTGAAAACAGTCACAATGCAGCAAATCAAAACAAACACTGAAGCACGGACACACCAGCACTACATCCCCTACAGATGCTGCTTGAACTGCCGCACTTACCTCTTCTGCTGCAAACTTCAAGACTGCAGTGAAAGGTGTGCTTTCAGGGACACTGAGACTGCAAGAATCGAAAAAAGAAATTTCGTATTTATTTAGTAGCAAATCTGGGCAGAGCTGTCTTTTGGGTTCCAAAGCTGGCTGTTTTGATTGCAACACCGTACTTGTCAATTCCAAAAAATGAAAGCAGGAGAAAAGTACACAACCTCAAAACAAGTAAGGCCAATTCCATGAGAAACTAACAACCTCTACAAGCACATATTTCGATGATCTTTTTCTTTTTTTATCAGATCCCTACAAGTGCAGCACATGGATTGCTGCTTGGTGAGATAGACTGTTCTCTTCTCACCAGACAGGGTCTCACTATGTAGCCCTGGCTGGCCTGGAACTTACTATGTTGACCAGGGTGTCCTCGAAATCCAGGATCATAAGTGTGTACCCTCATGCCCAGCTTGAGTCAATTTCAGAAAGATCAATCTCTTCCTGTTCCTCAGTCCTCTTTATTGCCACATCCAAATACCTTTTTCCTTGATGCAGTAAGGTGATCATTTCCATTCTAAAGAGAGTCTACTTGGGAAGCACTGTCAGATGTGACTGATGAACCCTTGCATACCCTTTTAATCAACATGTGTAAATCAGGAGGCCAAACTGATGACAATGAGTAAGCTTATCGTGGGAAAACAATAATAAAGTGATTATACTGTTATCTGAAAAGAGCTAAGTATATTCTGAAATGACCTTTTGGAGGTGTATAATTTAAATGAGTCCTTGATGGCAAATTTATTACAAAATATTAAAACATAGCAATTAATATGAATTTTCTAACTTCAAAACCAAAAAGCAAATTGACACTACACCCCAAGAAAACACTTAACCGAAAATCAGGAAGTTAGCACTTCTCTTTGAACCTTCCTACCGGTCACTAGCACATCCACCTTTAATGCCACACTGGCAACATTCCGAAGAGGAAGCCCAGGTCCCTCACTCACCTACGTCTCTGAGCTGAAGAATCAAATCTGTCACAGCACATCCCACTGACTTTCAGGAAGAGAAGTGAGAATGTTTGTGCCAGCACTTTGTTCCCACAAAACGTTATTAAAGGATGAAAACTGATGTCATTGTTTTCCTGGCTTTCGTGTTTTTTTTTGGGGGGGGGGGTTGGTGGAACAAAGAATTAAAAAATTTAAAGGCTAGCCATTTTTTTAAAAAATTCCAATAAACTGCAATTTGACAATTAAACAATCTAAAGGCTAGCCATTTGTTTAAAAAATTCCAATAAACTGGCAATTTGACAGTTAACAAAGTTTATAAGAGTACTTTACAAGTACTTACAAACTACACATGTGCACACAATTGCACATACATTAAACAAAGATATACACTAAATGGTTACACTTTCTAAACTCCTTCAGTGGGAATGCACTAACTGAAATGGTCCAGTGTTCCAGGAACTCTGATAGATACTGATGCTGACCTTCTGCCCTTCTCCCTTCCTCTTCCTCACTCTTTCCTTCCAGAGCAGTTACACAATGATGAGCATAACCCAGTGCAGAGGAGATGCCAATGACCAAGAGAGAGCAGTCCTCTGACTCAGCCTGATACTTCAGTCCTGAACACACCAAAACAACAGAACCTAGAAACTGGCTTTTCACAGGACACGTGTTTTTGATTGTAAATTTAGGGGTACTGCAGAGGGAACATGCCCTCTGTCTTCAGAGTGGGAAAGGTGTTGCAGAAAATCTGAGAAAAGAAAAAAAAAATCCTTCCTGAGAATAGGAAAAACTATGAAACTGGGGAACATAGCAGAGTGCTAGTGACTGATTTTTCATAGAACTCACCAACTTAATCATGTAATTTTTTCACGAGCACTAAATTAGGTACAGAGAATATAAATGATTGGGGTTCAGAGTTGGTGTTTCACCAAGCAAAATAAGGAGAGATCAGTGGGAGTCAAAGGATGCTTGCAAGAGAGTGATTTTAAAAATATTTTATTTATTTATTATTTTTACTTTATGTGTATCCCAGTATTGCCTGCATGTGAGTGCACCTGGATCATGGAATGCGGTGGAGGTGAGAGGAGGGCTTCGGATTCCCCTGGAACTAGAGTTAAGGACAGTTCGTAGCTGCCATGTGAGTGCTGGGAATCAAACCCAGGTCCTCTGCAAGAGCAGCTGGACCGCTGAGCCACCTCCCCAGCCCGTAGAATGATTTTAAAAGATGGGCTTTAAGCTGCATAGGAAGAAATGAATGGGTGTGCTCTGAGGGAAAAGCGACAGGCTTAAAAGTAGTTGGATGGATGATTAAGAGCAGCATTGTAGAAGAGATACTAGGGTAAGCTTTCTCAGAGAATGCAGACACTTGTGAATGTCTAAAAATGACAATTAGAGGTGGAGCTGTTACTGATTACTGGATCTCCAAAGGTTCTGGGCTGCGGACAAGGTGTACTCTGGAAGGGAGCAAATGACAGTTGCCACTAATTCAATTAGATAGGCCCTGGAACCACCACTTTACTAATTTTGCATAGAATCTTATGGAAATCCTGGCCCTTTGCCACGTAAACATAAATCTTCTAGCTGCAGTAACTCCAGAGTGTTTACACAGGAAGGTGATGAGTATGTGGTCAGACCTGTTAATCTCTCAATTCAATTGCTCAAGAATAAGGAAATGCCTAACAAGGATCCATGGCCTTCCTTCCCATTCGCACTAAGCGGGTTATATTAAGGTCCAAATGTGTGACTTGGGGCTCATCACTTTGTCAGCCTGTGCTGAATCATATACACAAGATAAAATGCCTGAGAACAGCAGGCGGACTGGTTCAGTCAACGAGTTCAGGCTAGGAAGTCTTCCCTAACTTCCGGTAACAGCCAGTCCAGGACGTGCAAGACCTTTCAATCACCAAGCCCTGGGATTGTCGGAGGCCAACAAACTACCCGCAACCTTGCCCGCCGCTGGCTTCCCGGCAGCACCGCCACAGCCCCCTCCCACACCTTCCTGCCAGGTCCCGGTGGCCGCCAGCGGAGCACGCGCGGGGCCTGTCACCACGCCCGGCCGGCCCAGCCCGCCCCACTCTCGCCACTCACACTTTGTACGGCAGCCGCGGGTCCGACGTCAGCGTGATCTTGAAGGAAACCTTCGACCTGAGGGAGAGAGCGGGAGACCGTCAGGGTCGTGACTCGGGGCCGAGCCGGACAGGGAAGGAAGGGCAGGGTACTTACATGGTGGAGCCGCCACACAAACACCGCGCACAGCCGCTGGAACGCTCCCTCCAATGGGGCCTTCGGGGGGGCTTCGCGGCTCCACGTCGCACTCCAAGGGGCTGTCCACCGCACGCCTGAAAGCCGCTCCCGCGGATCCCGGCCGTACACGGCTGCGGCGCATAGACGGCGGCCTATGTCGTGTTCCTGCCTCTCTCGACGGAGTACAAAGGATGCAGAGTGTGTGTCTTTCTACTTTGGCTGTTTCTTGACACATTTTTAATCAGGCAGTACAACAGTGCCGTACACGGCCTGCGGCGCATAGATGGCGGCCTATGTCGTGTTCCTGCCTCTCACAACGGAGTACAAAGGATGCAGAGTGGGTGTCTTTCTACTTTGGCTGTTTCTTGACACATTTTTAATCAGGCAGTGCAACAGTTTACAACAAGTGACCCCCCCCCCCCCCCCCGCGGGTGAGGGCGGAAGTTCGGTTGTGGGGAAGACAGACGTGGAGCGAGAGGAGGAACCCGGGGCGGGAATGGGGGGCGGGGTTTAGGGCGGGGCGGGGCGGACGATAAACATCGCTGTGTTGCTAAGGCAACTGATCCCAAAAGTACCTACAGTAGAGAAGTTGGTTTTAATCGCTGTAATTAACAGTTGTCTTCAGCCTTTCTAGCGTTTCAATCTTGTTAATACATTTTCTCGTCTGTAATTTTACTCCGATACTGATTTCTGAACAACTCAGAAGAAAGTTATTAAGATAGAATGCCCCAAGTCGAGATTCATGTTGTGGTCCATGTGAAAAATAAGATCCCAGTACTTGAAGATCTTGGAGTTGGGACCGAACGGGCATTAAACCAGGTGCTGGGTTGCCAGCCAGGTTCAGTTGAACAACGAACTTTCAGGCCTCTGTTCATATCAGATGTGAACCCAAAGAGTGTGATCCCTGTATGAATAAGATACACGGGTGGCACCCCTTTTGGATTTACTTCTATAGTGAAAAAAAAAAAAAAAGATTGTCCTCTAATCTTTATCAGAAGTCTAAACATCATTGTAAAATAAACATCCCATTTCACAATGACTAATGCTCTTTAAGAGAATTACTGCAGTGAATAGATGAGAGGAAAAAGGCGTTGAAACAACGGGAAGAGCTAGTCAGTCTTTTAAATATCTGGTAGATTCTTGAGAAATATAGGGAAGGAAATGTGGTAGAGATACTGAAGATAAATTTCGTGTATCCTACAGTCCTGTAGCTGGATGGTCTTCTATGGTAACTCCCAAAGGAGAGAATTCAAGTACTGACTGTAGGTAAGATTCCCGATATTCTCCTGACAGTCATCACCTTCAAAACTATGGGTCTCTTGGTACATACAGAGAAGATATATATTGACTAGTAGATTTGGGGATCAAGTGTTATATCTCTTAATAGCTAAAACTATAGAATTGATGTGCTTGGATAAAGACAAAATTACAAATGGCATACCTATATCTACTTGGTGTCAGATGTGTAAATAACAAGGGATCAGTATGCATATTTCAGTCTCTGTTTCTAACAATACACACTGTATATTTTTAAATAAAGTTTGCATTCTATTATCTAGTTTGATTTCTGCTCACGTATAAAAACCACGTGAAAAAATGCTAAAGAGAACACTTTAGTCAGAGTTTCTATCATATGTGCAAGGAGTGCATAAAGTAGTGAAAACAAGATTCAACCTCAATAGTATGTTACTTTAGTACTTGGATTCTGATGCCACTTCAGAAAATGTATTCATATGATGTATTGCATCAAAATATCAAGGAGAAGACACCCTATTTTCAAAAGATTAAAAAGTATGTGTAAATATTTAGAACTCTTTGCAACTTAATTCCTCTTTTCTGCCACTCTCATGTTTGCATCCTCAGAATCATCATTTCTAGACCTTGGTGAATTTTTCTCCTTGACATCAGAAACGTGATAGATTCATCTGCATTCAGTGTTTTACTTTAAAAAAAATTACTAAAGCAGTTTTCAATTGGCAAATGTTATAACAAGAGGGACTTTCTAATTTACTGAAAAGTTGAAAAATCTGAATTACATTTAATGAACATAAACAGAAGCAAACTCTGAAGCAAATTTTTAAGAGATAATTGGCAAATGTAGCATTTTAAGACAATACACATCATAAATGGCCTAATGTATCCTGGAAGAGATACAGTTAGTGTTGCAGGGAGCCATAACTGACTGCAGAAGTAAACAGTGTGCATACTACATCTCATTAAAGACCAATAGAACATACCAATGTTATATTTGTAAAATATAAAATTCTCATTAGAAAGGACTCAGGGTCTGGAGTGTAGCTTGGTAGTAGAGCTACAGTTCAGCAAGCACAAGTCCTTGCTACAACCCCTAGCCAAATAATAATAATAATAATAATAATAATAATAATGAACAAAAATTTTAAAAAGACCAGCAGAAAGTTAACTTTACATTGTTAAGTAGAAGATGGGCATGTGTGGAGCTGAGAAAAGGAGTCCTGGAAGACAGCACACGCTGTCTTACAGGGAAAGGTAAAAAATATTGCACAAACCAGGCATGCAAGTGTAATCTAAATGAAGGAAGCGTTGATATTTTATTGTTCTTGGTACCCTCCAAGACTTCCAGAGCTTTTTAAGAAATCAGAAGATGGTAGGGCAGTGGAGGGGCTCAGAAGTGGGGGATAATCAGAACCTAGGCTATTTGAAAAATACATATGGAAATGTATTTTATAAGCACACATACATATGCATATATAAAGAGTTTAAATGGTGGGGCTAGAGAGATGGCTCAGTGGTTAAGAAAACTTGCCACTTTTCCAGAAGACCCAGGTTCAGTTCCCAGCACCCACATGGTGGCTAACAACGATCCATAGCTCTAGTTTCAGGGGGAATCCAATGCTCTCTTCTGACATACATGGGCATTGCATGCATGCAGTGCACTTGCATGCATGCAGGCAAAACACTCATACATATAAAATAAAAATAAATTAATTTAAAAAGTTTAAATCTTAAAAAAAAGAATTTAAATGTAGTCCCACTTGGGAGATATTGCCCCTCCCAGAAGTTATTGGTTTTCAAAGAAGCCAATGTTAGGTGTGGGATACCCTCCCTTCAAGTTATTTGGTTACGGGAGCCATAAAGATCCCCAAAACAATGCAGGCTCTTGCTCTTGGCTGTCCCCCAAAACTTGTTGATAAGGCTTTATTGCTGAAGACATCAACACTTTGACAATAGGACATGGAGAAATCAAGCTTCTTGTGTAGGTTCTGGGAATCTGAACTCTGGTCCTCACAGTGAGGTGGAAGCTTCCTCCCTGCTGGTAGCTTTCTTAGTACTGGAAGGTGCTATGCAGGCTGTTGGAGGAGAAAAATCATCAACACTCTTACCCAGCTGTGAACGCTGTGAGCAACAATAACAGAGACTTGGCAAAATATGCCCATGAGCACAATATTTGTATGACTGCTAAGGATGTAACCAACCACTTTTTAAAAATTGAATTTTAGGCCTACTTCATAAGAAGAAACTCATGCTGATACTGTCAACCTGTTCAAGAATCCATGGTTGGGGAAATTATAAGCCCTATGGGTGAAAAACTGCTGTTGTATTGCTAAATGGACATAGTATCAAACTGCCTTTTAAAAGTGTTGTTTTAATTAAATTATTTATTTTTATTTTATGAGTGTTATGCCTGCATGTGTGTAAGTATACCTGTGTCATGCAGTGCCTGTGGAGGACAGAAGAGGAGGGCATCAGATCCAGATCCCCTGGAACTGTAGTTATGGATGGTTGTTAGCTGCCATGTGGAATCCTGATTTTTGAACCTGGGTCTTCTGCAAGAACAGCCAGTGCTTTTAACCATCTCTCCAACTCCCTAAAAAATTTTTTGTTTTATTTATTTTCATTTTTCTATGTGTTTGAGTATTTTGCCTGTATGTTCATAAATGCACCTATGTCATGCAAAGTCCAAGGAGGCCAGAAAAGGGCATCAGATCGCCTGGAACTGAAATGGTTGTTAGCCACTCTATGGGTCTTGGGATCTGAACTTGGGTCCTCTGGAAGAGCAGATTGTGTTCCTTACCACTGAGCCATCTCTCCAGCCCCTCAAACTTCCTTCTTAATACTTATCTCTATACCCAAAGATTAGTGCAGCCCTCAGTCCTAATCAGAGAAGCTTCACTTTGTGGTGATTGGTGGTTAATAGACAGACTCATAACTGGTCAAAGTACAGCGACTGAGTGAGTGTCTGTGAAGTGATATGCTATAAATGGAATATCTATATCATACCCATCATAGAAGATGGGGCAGAAAGATTGTAAGATCCAGAGGTTGGGGGCAAGGGCTACTGAAAGCAGTGTCTTCTGGGCACCACAGGGCTGTTGCACACATGAACTCAGAGCAGCTGAGGTTGCCTGACAACATCTGCACAAGATAAAGCCAGTCAACATTCCAGTTGGATAGGGAGGGATTCACGAGGTCCCACTCCTACCTGAGTAGTTACTGGCATTTGATGGCTTTTAGGGGAAAGAGATTTGGTTTCCTTCAGGGATGTGGATACTGGAGGTTTACTATGCCCTAGTGAATAGCTCCATACATATGTGCATATGGGCCATACTAATTGGGTTCAGTGAGTTATAAAAAAAGAGGACACAAAGTTGGGAGGGGAACATGGGGGATCCAGGAGGAGTTGGAGAAGGGGAGTAAACTTAGTAAAAATATATACATGGAAAAAACTCTCTATGATAAATACAAATTATATTAAACAAGAAACCCTGTCATTAGTAGCTAGCTATACCACTCATAGTATTTGAATTTTTTAAAGTTTGTATGTATGAATGTATTGTCTGCATGTATGTAAGTGCACCTGTGTCATGCAGTGCCTGTGATGGACAGAAGGGTTCTCTGCAAGAGCAGCTAGTGCTCTTAGCTCTTGAACCATCTCTCCAGCCCTCATGGTATTTGAAGTTTTACACAGTACACAGTATCATGATGTCTTTGTGAGTGTCATATCCATGGTGACTTGGCACATTTTGATGCAGATTTTAGCTAATTCATGACGATTGCTTCATTGTACTTCACTGTGTAGGCATGCTGTGAACTATTTAGAAGGAATATAATTTGCATTGTTTCTTATAAATAGAACACAATTTAAAACTTTTGAAAGTATATGTAGACATTGTATTGTTAAACATGAATGTTTAGAAAAAACAAAAACTACATTTCTAAATGTGGAGTTGTGACAACATTTAGCTTAAAAGCATTCTCACATCAGGGCAGTCCTATAATTGACACATTGGAGAATTGCTATGGGTGTCACCTTGAG